TATATATATATATATATATATATATATATATATATATATAGGGTGTGCAATGATACAGAAATGTCACCATTCGGTTCAGTTGGATATATTAAGAGTCGTGGTTTGGTATTTATTTATTTATTTATTTTTTCAATTAAAAAAACGAGAAATTTTCATGCCTTTCTTAATTTGTAATTTAATTTTAATTCTATATTTGGAAATCTGCAGCATTGTGTGGGTCACATGACATAGGGTGGCCACCCATAATACAAATGGCACTGAAACACTTGTAAATTTCCACAGAAAACACTTGTAAAAATAACAGTAAATAAACTGACTTAAGCTCAATTTTAAAAACCTTCAACAGAATTGTATACATGATCAAAATCCAAATAGGAAATGATTTTATATTTAACCATCAGAAGTGCAGTATCTGTCATTTCCCAAAGTGTGTTAGGACTCACTCTTGTGTCTGTGGCACAAGTTGTTGGGTATTCAATTGACACACATATCAACTTAAAAAAACAACATAAAATGATATGAATATGCTCTGTTACACATCTATTCTATTGTTGTCATCACGGATGTATGGACAGTACATATTTGTGCCTAAGCATTTGAACGGATCTGGTAGCGTTTCAGTTTATTTGTTGTAACCTGAATAAAGGTTTTTGTCCTTTTTTTGTTCGTTATTTAGCCAACCGAAGATCCAGCTGTGTACTTCCAGAGGAGATCTTTCTACAGCCCTGTTTTGGTCTTGGATGAGTCTCGCTGTCTTTTGGCCATTGGAACCACTCCCTTCACCACATTTGCCAAAGAAGACCTTGGTGAAGGTTTGCTGTATCTGAGGGAATACTACTACACCATGCATCTCACTACTACACCATGCATCTCACCTATCCAAAGTGTGTGGCAACCCTTCTCTCTGTCATTCACACTGAAGTGTTGAAGGACAGTATCCACGAGAAAGACACCACAGGCTCATACAAAAGAGTCATGGCAGAGTGGAAACGTTTTATTGAGAAGTAGAGCTCTTCCACTTATGTGTTATTAACTTCCAGGTCTGTGTTTGAATTTTTGACCTGAAAACTTATTTACATTGAAATGTAATATTTTTTATATATGCACAGCGCCTCAAATGTTCTACTTTTAAATGTGAGGGTCTGTAACGTTATATGTGGATCCCGGTTAGTTGTTTAATAGTTGAGAGGAACACAAAATAAGTTTATCTTGAGAATTTGTCTTGACATGACAGAGTGAAAAGTTTTATTGAGTAGAGAAATTTCAGTTAGGTGCAAATAACTTTCAAGTCTGTGTTGGAAAGTTTTGAACTGAAGGCTGTGAAGTTATTTAAATTCTTACTTTTTTTTTTGATAATCTGATATGAAGTACTTATTTCTTCTATCAACAAGTGCCTCAGATGTTGCTTAAGAAATATGAAGATTTTGTAGCTTTATGTTAGTTGGTTATTTGTGATAAGAGCACCAAATAAGTTCACCATATTTGTCTTGACATTCATGTGTACGATGATTGAAATAATTGTTACAATTTGAACAGACAATTTAAATAAAGGTCATTTGTACACAATATGCCTGATTTATTTTAGTGTAAATGCTTTGTCTTGTTTTAAGATGGAAAATCTATTAATCGTTCTTAATTCCAGAAGATCCATCTTGTTAAGTTGGCCTTGTTTTAAGATATTTTCTGTCAAAGTGAGAAAAAATGAAAACTGAAAGAAGCATTAACAGACTAGTATTGAGTTTATTTTACTTCATAAAGTACTTGTAATGAGTTTTTTACAACTTGTTTTAAGACATTTCTCACTTGTCTAAAGCCTAGAAATATTTACTTATTTCAAGAAATCTTACCAAGTGCAATTATCTTACTGCACTGGCAGATTATTTCACTTAATTTGAGATGATTCAGGCTATTATCTAGTATTTTTTTACTTATTTTTAGATGGGTACTTTTTGCAGTGTAGCAGTTAGCTACTTTAGCTTTTAGTTAATGCTTTGCTTAGCCAGTGTGTTGTTGCAGACAGCAATGTGTGGGCACCACAGTGACCATATGTTTCAAGTAGTAAACACAGAGGTTTACCTTTTGTGTCTCAGCCTGGTGTGAGGACCCACTATGTAGAGATGGGCTCCGGTCCACCGGTTCTGCTCTGCCACGGTTTCCCTGAGAGCTGGTACTCCTGGAGGTTCCAGGTGAGCCAGGTCCCTTCATTACAACGTCCTAATAGTTTTCAGTGTTTTCTTACTTGCCTCTTCTCCTGTAGATCCCAGCCTTGGCTGCAGCAGGGTTCAGGGTCTTGGCTCTGGACATGAAGGGATTTGGAGAGTCCACGGCACCTCCTGGTGGGGAAACACCACAAATATTTAATGCAGTTTTCGCTTATCTTTTTCTTTATAATCTTTTCATTTGCTGACTCACAGACATCGAGGAATATTCTCAGGAACACCTTTGCAAGGTACAAACTCTTCAAAGTGAAGACTGTGTGAAATATTATGATATTTATTTACTCAAATGTTTCTCTTTTTGCAGGATTTAATCACATTCCTAGATAAAATGGTAAGAAATAAATCAAACCCTGATTCACAAAAGTTCTACTATCCAATTTCTTTAGACACACTTTGTCGCTGACTAGTAAACTCCTGCCCACCTTTACTTCAGAAAAATCCAGCCTCTCTAAAAGTCTGCAGTCCAACTAACTGTGTGGATGTTTATGAAGCATTCACACTATTGTGAGCCATTTTTCTTACGTACATTTTTAGGCGTGTTTCTCATCCTGCATTTTTTTAAAGCTATTTCAACTAATTGTATATCAAAATGTTCGGCTCTTTCTGGACAATCCTGCTATGACTTTTGGTATTGCTGCAACTTTAGCTTTTTGAAATATTTAGCCTTTTCTGCCATTTTTATCTCGTAGAAAATAAATAGAGCTCATTTTACATTCTTCAAATCTTTAGATCTGTTTACAAGCTTTTACTGCTCCTTTCACATTTTGTTCTGTTTCAGCTTCTTTCAGCTTCCTGCTGCAAATTTAAACATTTTTTCAGCTACCTTCAGCTGATTTCAGCTGTTTTGTGCTCCGTTCACATTCTTCCTGCTAACTACAACATCTTTGTGCTTCTTCTAACTTATTTCTGTTAATAGCTTGTTCTGATTCTTTCAGCTTATTTCTGCAAGTTTCAGCTTTTTCTACTGTTTCAGCTATTATTTGGCTGTTTTTTTATGCTAATTTAAGCTTTTTCAACTAATTCCACATTTTTTTGCACTCATTTTTCATTTTCAGTAATTTTTTCAGTCTAATTCAGCAAAACATATGCTCTTTACTTCCTTCTTGTAATTTCAGCTTCTATTTGCCTTTTAGCTACTTTTCAGCTTTTTTGTTGCTAATTTCAGCTTTATACAGATAATTTCCACTTTTTTGTACTGATTTCTGCTTCTTTCAGCAATTGTGTTCTTTCTGCTAATTTAAGCTTGTTCTACCATTTCAGCTACTTTTTTAGGCACTTTTAGCTAAGTTCAGCCATTTTCAAATAAATTCAATTTTTTCATAGTAATTTCTAATTTGTTTGACTTCTTTCTGCTAATTTTAGCTAATGTTCTTTTCAGCTTTTTTCTGATAGTTTCAGCTTTTTCTGCGATTTCAGCTACTTTTTATCTGTTTTGTGCTAAATTGAGCTTTTTCAGCTAATTCCACATTCTTTTTAGCTCATTTCAGCTCATTCCACTTCCTTTTGGTAGTTTAAGATTTTCAGCTTATTTTCATCAACTTTTTTGCTAATTTCAGCTTTTATAGTTAATTTCCAAAAGTTTGTGCTCATTTCTGCTTATTATCATCATCATCATCATCATTATTATTATACCATATTCAGCAAATATTTGTTCTTTCTGCTTTCTTCTGCTAACTTATGCTTGCTCTTCCATTTCAGCTACATTTCAGTAATTTTTTAGCAGGTTCTTCAGCAATGAGTATTCATAATGCATTTTTGTAGTTGTAAAATGCTAATTTTACAGCTTCTTGTTACCAACGGACCAACTTTAAAGAGCAGTGTTGCAGCCAGAAAAAACAAAAAAAGAAGAAAGAAATCAAAATTACTTAAAAAAAAAAACATTTTATTTTGTTTTTATTTAATTTTATAGAACATGCCAACATTTTCAGAATTAAAGTTGTACTAATAAATAACGTTCGTCTTACCTTGGCTGAGTCATCTCTGTTCTGGTCTCAGGCCATACCACAGGTCACCCTGGTGGGTCACGACTGGGGCGGCATTTTGGTTTGGAACATGGCCCGGTACTTTCCAGAGAGAACCAGGTGAACGAAGAAAAAAACACTTTAACAAAGTCAGAGATGTCTCCTGAATTCTGAAGCTAATTGTTGTTTTCTGTTTATGTGAAGAGCCGTGGCATCTCTGAACACTCCTCTGTTCCCGGTGGATCCTTCTGTTCCTCCGTCAAAGAAACTCTTGGCTTTGCCCATAATGGACTACCAGATCTATTTTCAAAAACCAGTAAGTTGCCCAGTGCTTTTTGTCATTTCAAAAGCTCCATCTGTTGCAGACATTAGTAGATATTGTAAAGTTCCTAAAACAACCAGATGCATGAAGGGTTTGAATTAATATATATATATTTTTTAATTTAAAGACAAGTTATGGGAAAAGTTACCGTGATTTTCGGACTGTAAGGCGCACTTAAAATCTTATGGTTTTCTCAAAATTCAACAGTGAGCCTTTTAAGCTGGTGCGCCTTATGTATTAATTCTGGTTGTGCTTAATGACCTTGAGCCGATTTTATGTGGTACACGGCGCTCAAAAATCTGTCAAAATGTTTTAGTTTTGCTTAATGCGCCTTATAATCCAAAAAATATTTGGTTTTACGTTTAAGAACACAATAAATCTGGTCTGATCTGGTCATTACCAGGTTCTAAAATTATTCTAATCAAACTTCACGTGTACCAAACTCACAAACTTTGGAAGATTAATACAACGCCAGGATGGAAAGACATCAGCAATGACCTCAGAGATGCAACTGCCAATGTCCATCAATCTACGAAGGGTCAAAGGTCATTTTCAACGTATTTGGAATCAATCATTTTACAAAGAGAAAAAATAATAATGAGTGGAAAACATTTAAGTCTGCTGCCTTAGCCCTGACCCTGAAGGTCAGACCGTGCAACGTCCAGAAAAACGAGTCTACAGGCCTCACTCAGCAGGTTAAAGGTTTGGGTCATGACCGGATCGCTTGTCTGAAAGGGTTGCAGGAGTCCCTTCTCTCTAAAAACATGGCAGCGCCACAGGTTTGTAAAGTTACATACGAAGGAACCACAACTTCTACAAATGTTCTTCAGCAAAGTTAAGTCAGGTCCTCTGGACGGTTTCGTTTCGGTTAACGTTTTGTCCTTCATCCAAAGGACTTCATCAGCATAAACTTTGATGTTATGAGTCACTTTAGCAATGGCTGCCTCAGAGGAGTTGACGGGGAAGAGGGCAGGACCCAGAAACCATCTTATCACCATAAAACTGGTTGGTCCACTATGTGAGTAAGCCACTTACGGGACTGAGTTTGTTGTGGCTCCTCGGACTGATGAAGTCCTTTGGATAAAGGATGAAATGTTTCAACAAAAAAATAAACCGTCCAAATGACCTGACTGAACTTTTTTGGATTTTTTTAACCTGGATTATTCAGCTTGAACTTTAAACTACAAAAGTAATTTTATCTGTATATTGTCATAAAGATATATATATATATTTTTTCTCTTTATACCAAGTGAAGAGCAGGGATCTAGTAACAGCAGAACTTGATCATTTCATGCAAACACTGTGCAGCTGCTGTCATACTTGACTAAAGATGAAACTTCTACAAACAATTAGGCCAAGAAAATCAGCGTGTTGAACCAGTTTAGCTTTTTAGAAAAGGTCCAAAAGTGGGATTTTTTTTCTTTTCATGATTATAATTCAACCATTCTACACATAATGAGCTCAAATCTGGTGTAGTAGTATCTGAGTCTTCCCTTACACAAATTTATTGATTTATTTAATTCATTTATTCGTTCATTTAAAAGAAACAAAATAAGCAAAACAAACTCATCAAAAAGAAAAAAAAAAACCATTGGATGAAGAGTGCAGAAAAAAGAAGAAAATTCTTATATCTGCCCCTTATTGAAAAAAATTAAAAAATAACTTTAATCAAACAACAACCTACGCTTGAACAATCTCCAAATTGAAATAAAAAAAAACATCAGGCATCCTTCACATGGCACCATACTTTCCTAACAATTTTAACTTAATCATCTTTTTAAACATATAAATCGTTTTAGAAATTTTTATGGCATCGAGGCAATTCCATAATCCTGTTCCCTGAATTACAACGCAGCTCCTTCAGACTAGTTCTAAATGGAGGTTTTACCAACATTTCCATTCCCTTAAGGTTATAATGACTCGTTGTTTAAACAAATTTTAATTGAATATTTGGGGTAATATTTTTTAATGAGCTTTATGCATGGCTTGTAAAATATTATCTTCAACGACATCATAAAATTTTAATAATTTCAACTGATGAAACAATATATTTGTAAAGTGACCATAGCACTTCCTACTAATAATTCTTATAGCTCTTTTTTGTAAAATAAAAATAGGGTTTAATTGTTCTACAATGTTTCCCCCAAACTTTAATACAATAAATTAAATATGGAACAATCAATAGATTATACAATATATATAAAGCTTTGTCAATCAAAAACTCTTTTACTTTATACAGTAATGCAATTGATTTTGCCATTTTTATTCTTAAGTAATTTACACGAGATTTCCATGTCAGCTTCTCATCAATAACCACACCCCAAAATGTTATTTCATTAACTCTATGAACTCCAACACTCAATTTTAAATGGGACTTGGATAATTTTCTTTCGATTACTAAATATCATGTAGTTTGTTTTTTCCAAATTTAATAACTTATTAAGTTGGAACTGAGCTTGTATTTTTATGAATTCTGCCTGTATCGTCTCTAACATCCGTTCAACATCTTTGCCCAAACAAAAAAATGTGGTATCATCTGCAAATAAAACACACTTCAAAAGCCCTGACATATCAACCAGATCATTCACATACAAATTAAACAACTTTGGTCCCAACACAGAGCCCTGAGGAACGCCACATCCAAATAAAACCCACTTCAGAAGCCCTGAAATATCAACCAGATCATTCACATACAAAGTAAACATTTGTCCCAACACAGAGCCCTGAGGGACTCCACATCCATTCACACAAAATTCAAATCTTACATTGTTTCCCTGTACAAACTGTCTCCTATTATTCAAACAACCGGATACCCACTGTAGTGCTAATCCTCTAATGCCATATTTATTCAGTTTTACATATTGTGCGACATGTTTGTCTAGAACTGTTGGAATCAGCACCTGCTTGGTTCATGCGTTTCAGGGAGTAGCCGAGGCTGAGCTGGAGAAGGATTTGGAGAGAACATTCAAGATTTTCTTCTTCAGACGCTGTGAAAAAGTTAGTCGACACCGTCTTCATCAGGTCAGTATATGGGTGGAGGCAAACCACTTGATAAATGTTCTTTCTTCAGGAGGAGAGTCTTGCGCTCAGCACTGCAGGAGTCTGCGCTCGAGGTGAGAAGATCTCCTCCTGTGAACCCTCTTCAGACGCTCCCGTAAACTCTCGGGGCTCATGTTGTATTTTCGGGGTCTCAGGTGGTCTGTTCGTGGGTCTGCCGGAGGAGATTCCCCGGAGCTCCATGCTGACGGAGGCCGAGCTGCAGTACTACGTCAGCCAGTACAAAGAGAACGGCTTCAGGTGAGGCCGACTTAGCAAACAAGCAAGTCTTCTAGCTCAGGTGCGTTCATTAGGGTGGCGTACACAAACACAGCTCCATGTCAGAAGATGAGTGAAACAGCAGAAGCAGACATGTTAAATCTGAAATGTTAAATATCTTTTTGGACTTCAGGGGATCCATAGTCGACATTTTGTGTACCATTTAAATCACGATTAACAGACATAGTTGGGATCCATTTTTGCTTATAAAGCAGTTTAATACCCTAAAATGTAAAATATTCTGTATTGGTTCTCAGGTGCCAGCTGAACTGGTATCGAAACGGTGACACCAGCTGGAGGTGGATGTGTTCGCTGCCCTCTGGGAAGGTTAGTTAGTTTGTACCTAATTCTCTGGATTAGAGACTAAAACGTTTCACAGAGCGGATCTTCAGGTTTGTCCTAAATTCTGGTTTATTTTTTGTTCATCATTTATGACCCAATGTCTCAAGTTCCTTCAGGAAGGACGGGTGCTGCTTGTGTCCAGCAATCTTTGAATCAAACCAGTTGGATAGAAGTTGTTTAACTGGACTACTTTAGCCTAGTTTGAGTTTGGACTCAGCTACTAATGTGAAACATCTCCAGTTTGTATCCGTCCAGGACTGGTAGAAACCAGTTGTTGGAGTTTTTGAGGGGGATGTTGTCCCATTCTGATCTGAAGGAGGATTAGCTGTCCAACAAGTCCTCGTTCTTCTTTGATAGATTTCATTTGCTGGATGGGAGCAGATGTTCTAAAATCTGTACTTTTCTGCATCAATGGTTCCATTCCAGATGTGCAAGCTGTCCATGCACCCCCATGCCAACAGAGAGGCAGGCTTTTGAACTTTGTGCTGGTAACAGGATGGATCGCAGCGCTCGCGCTTTCCAAAAACAATCTCAGATCCTGATCCGTCTGAGCACAGAACAGTTTCGCTCTTCACCTCGGTCCATTTTAAAATGATCTTTGGTTCAGAGAAGACAGCACTGGTGTTCACATATGGCTTCCTCTTTGTATGATAGAGCTTTAAGCAGCATCTGTGTATGGCACAGTGAGCTGTGTTTACAGACAGTGATCTGTGGAAGTGTTCCTGAGCCCATGCAGTGATGTCCAGAACAGAGCCAGAACTGTTTTTCTTGTTGCAGTGACCCTTGAGGGTCCGAAGATCATGACCAGTACTGAACCAGCTGGTTGCGGTCATGAATTTTTAAAATGCGAGTTCCTGTTGGAACGGTTTAAAGATATGTCTCCTTTAAAACATGTTGTGGGCTGTGTTGTCAGATTCTGATGCCGGCGCTGATGGTGACGGCGGGTAAAGACCCCGTCTTGCTGCCAGCATTCTCACATGGGATGGAGGACTTGGTACGGACACAAGCATCTGAATGATTTCAGCTCCGACCAAATTAAATCTGACCCTCGCTGGTTTCTGAGTGCAGATCCCGAACCTGAGTCGAAGACACATAGAGGACTGTGGACACTGGACCCAGATGGACAAACCAGCAGAGACCAACAACATCCTGATATCGTGGCTTAAAGAAACACATGAGAAGAACGGAGGGGTTACCATGACAACTAAACAGTGAGGAAGGAGGGAGAAATTACATTTGACATCTCCCCTTCAGGATTTCAAAAATAAACAACAAAAAAGTTAGAAATATGTAGTGAGTTTTATAATAGACATGAAACTCAGTAAAAAAGAGAAACTTCAGGAATAAAGAATGCAAGGAAAGATAGGACATTTCACAATAAAAGTCTTTAGAACATTTTACTTGATTGTTGTTTTATTTTATATCTGGACCTCATTTTAATTTCAAACATGAGGTTTGTGTGTTGTTTCAATAATTTTGTTGCAATGCAGTAATATTTAATCCTGTTTTGTGTTTGAGTAAAAATAAAAAGGATTCTTAGTGAAATTTATTATGAAGAATCTAATAATGGGTATTATTTATTATTTCACACACACACACACACGCACACAACAGTATCCCATAATCTCTCATAATAATAAATAGTTAAATTATGTAATACAAACTCTAAGAAAAAACATTTTCGGCTAAAATCTAGCATGAACGCAGAGCGCTGAAGGATTTCACTGAAATTTACCGAATAAGCTAAAATAGAGTTGGAAAAACAAAAAGACGAAGAACATTAAAGGCTAAAAGCAATACGTTAGCCAAAAGTAGTAAAAATTAGCTAGATGTTGAAACAACTAGCTAAAAGTAGCAAAACCTAAGAGTATCAAAATGCTAGCTAAAGAAAAACACAGCAAAAACATTAGCTAAACATAACAAAAGGGTAGCTTGAAGGTAAAAGCAGCGAAAGGACAATAAACAATAATAATAAAATAAAGCCAGTTCTCTTAGGCAGATTTCAAAGAGAACATTTATGATTGAACTGAAGAGATCAGAATGTATTTCTATAGTGAAAGTATTTGTAAGTATAAATATTTTGAAAAGTATTAAAAGGTATTAAAACAAAAAATATAGCACCCGTTTCCTGAATGAGCCAAACGTGTTGATATGCAAATAGTTAAAAAGCGAAAAACACTCACTGACCTACACAAGACGAGGTCAGTGAACAAGGCCTGGCAGATTCTGGCAGATCCTGATCACCACTCCATAGTGAGTTCAGGTTGTTTCCATCTGGACGCAAGTATCTGCTGCCCAGATGTAAGACGGACAGACTGAAAAGCTTATTCATCCCTGTAGTGATCAGGCTTCTCAACGAACAATGATTATTTAATGTACCGTGTTTTTCGGATTATAAGGCGCAATAAGCGAAACAAAACGGATAAGTCAAACTTTATTCAACTCATTCACAAAAGCCACATAAAATGGAGGTCAGTAAACACAACCAGAATTAATACATAAGGCGCACCAGATTATAAGGCTCACTGTTGATTTTTGAGAAAAATTAAAGGATTTAAGTGTGCCTTATAGTCCAAAAAAAATCCAGTATAGTTATTTTAATGTCTTAATGTTTTGTCTAGTACAGATGTTTTGTGTGCCGACTGACTGTGAAACAAATTGCCCCTTGGGGATAATAAAGATTCTTGAACTTGAAACAAACCAGAATTTAGGCAAATTAACAGAAATGTTCACAAAAAAAAAAGATTAATTTGTAAGTTTCAAAATTAAGTTTATTAGAAAACATCTACAAAAAATATTTTACAGTATTAACTTCATATTATTTCTCCTTAAAACAAAAATCGGTTAAAAAAAATTTAAAAGCATAATCCTAATTTGATTGGAAAGTGTTTCAGTTTTTTTCCTCTATAAACATGATTCAGTTTTCTTTTATTATCTCTGCCATACAAAAACGATAAGCTTTATAACAAATAAATATAAATGTATTCAAGCACATGCAGTTAATACTGATGAGAGGAAGGCAAAAATACTGTAGAAAACAAAGAGACAAGCAATGAAAACAAAATGGCATTAAAGGACGTCAAACAATTAAAGCAGACATCCTGGATGGAACGAAATTTTAAAACGAGTTTGTTTTTGTTGATAAACTGAAACTTTTTGAGTTTTCAAGGCTGAAATCATAACGACGAAATCTGAAAAACCTGTTTTACAGCTTCTTGTCTCTAAACAGCTTCTTCCAGGCCGGCATGATGTGCTCATAGATCTGTTCAATCTGTAACACACACACACACACACGTTAACGCCACGCTTCACCGTGCACCAGGTGTGTAAGCCCCGCCCACTCTCCTCACCTGTTGGGACTTCTTCACTCCGTATCTGAAAAGCGTCACCTGGTGCTCACTGTTGTGGAACAGGATGTCAAAGGTCACCTCGCGGCCCATCATGTCTTCAATGGCGGGCTTCACTACCGTGTGGAAGTCTCGGGGTGTGTGTGTGCTGTCCAGCATGTTGCTCACCTGGTTTGTTTTTATTTTTAGTTAAATTTTAAGCTTTGATTCTTTAAAATTTTTACGATAGTTTATTTATGTTTTACCTTGTATTTGTTCCCCAGCATCTCCACAGGATCCAGTTTGACCTCCGACCTCAGAGCTCGACCAAACAGCGGGATCTTAGTGTCGGAATCTGGTAAAAATATTCATAAAAAAAGTTATTAAAAATGGAAAATGACTACAAGCTAAAAGAGCAAAAAGGCCAAATAAAGCTACACGTTACAAAAAAGCTAGCTAAAAGCTAAATGTGGCACAACAGTAGCTGAAAGCTAAAGGTATCATAAGAAGACGACAACAGAGCCAGTTTGATGAAGCAGATTTCTTTATGTATTTATATCGGAAAATATTCATAAAACAAGTAAAACACAGAAAATACCGACCTCGACATGTCAGGTGAGCGATGTAAGGAACACCGTCCCTCTCTCCAAAATATATCCCAAAATGAGAGAAGTATTTGTTCCTGGGGTACTCCACAATGTCTCCTGGGTATAACTTGGGATGGGAATTTTTCTGCGGGTAGAAACCATCATATTACACCCAGCATCAGATTGGCGACAAACCAAGTGAACTTTGACCTTCGGATCCAAAAAGTAGCTAAAATGAGCAAAACAGTTGTTTATTAATTTTGTTATTGCAGGCTGAGATGGCTCTAATAGACTGACTGTTCATTATGGACAAAAATATTGGGTAATGGTATCTTTAAGCAGTTATGGAAGGATTGTCAATTCCCCCCTTAGCAACACAATCAGGACCTTCTAAATGTTAATTAAAAGCAGCAAAATGACATTTTTAAACAGCAAGACATGAATTTATACCACTCTTTAGACATACTCACCAGACCCATGACTTTTCTGTGATGTTCTTCTGTTTCTGAAAGTAAAGCCACATCAGTCACAGGAACCCCACCCAACCTGCTTTACATAGAGGGGTGTGACGGTAACGTTCAGCCGTCTGTCACCACCACGGTCCACTGGTTCCATCCCGGATCATTAGAAGCACTCTCTGAACTTCTGTTGGTGCCAACACCGCAGCTCAGGTTGGGTTTTTTGGCTCAGTTTGATTGTTTTAAATAATTTCCCCCCCTTCTACAAGGAACCATACCCCCCCCACCCACTTCAGCGTCCCTAAGGCACCACCTCTTGGCGTATGTGCAGGTGTTTCCTAAACAGAGGCTGAAAGAGGAAGCAGCTTCATTTAAATAAATAAATAAATACCAGTAAATAAGAATAAGGCCACAAATATATA